CTTTGTAAGGCAATTCCTCAATCTCTGGCTTTTCTTTACTTTCTGTTTGTGTTTGTTTGTTTGCTTTTTGATTTATTATCTGCTATCTGAATGTACTGCACTCTTACTATTTTCCTATGCCAAGTTGCCCACCAAGATTTTAATGGAAGTTCTAAACTTTAATTCTTTATGGTGAAGGCACTTCTCTGGAAATAGTTAAAGGGTTTTGGCATCATCAAAAAGGGGGAAATTGTAAGGAATATTTGTAATTAGATTTTGATGATGCTATATTAATTAGGACTTTAAAGTACTCCTTTTTAGACTTAATGTATTAGAATTTTCCTTTGTAAAGTTCTTAGCATAATCGACTACCAGATGGCCTCCACACCAGAAGACCTCCTGACAGAAGATCTTTGGTTCTCTGCCTAGGAACAGAAAACCTCAGGGTCTCTGTTAGCCTTTACTTTGACAGAAACCCTCCTGGTTCTCTGTAAGCTATTATCAACAGAAGTGCTCAAGACCTTCTCTGACCAACTCTCTGCTAAAGACACCAGAAGGCCTGACACTTAGAAGAATTCCACAAATCCGGGAAATCAACTGAAAGATTCCTTCAACGGCTAGGAGACTTGTACGGAAATGCTACAGTGCCAGCATTAAATGCACATTTAATGCTCCCCATGTTCCGTAGAGTAATTGCAGATGATTGGCCGCAATGTCAGGATTACTTTATCCCGAAATAGTAACCCGCCAACTTTACCGGGTCCTACTGGTCAAGTCAACTGCTCGCGCATTAAATGCAGATTGTCCTCCTTCACCTCCAACAGGAAGACAACCCTCAGTATAAAAGATACACTACGAAGAACAACCGGATAACTTTTTGCTCTACTAACTTTGCCAACTTCACCACATTCTTTGCAAGAAAAACACATTCAAATTATTCAAGGCAAAAAGGTCCTCTTGAGATTCAAACTCTTCATCCTCAACAACAGAGACACAAGTTGGAAAGAATATAACTTCATATCATTAAATCCAACAAGAGCAAGGTTCCAACAGTTCTTCAACAACTTCAAGCACTTCATCTACAAATCCTTTGTAACGAAGCTAGTTGGAGGAACCCCTGTTTCAACAGAAACTCTTCTTGTTACAAGAAGGACGTCCAAGTAACTGGAGTAGTGAAGTGGTGATACTTCCGGGAAGCTCAGTGAAAGGACCAGTCTTAAAGGAAGCCAGGCAGTGCATCCCAGGAGACATCTAGGTTTGAAGAAGACGTGGAGAGCTTCTTAAGTGCTAGGACTAAGGCGTTGTAAACAGTCGTTTTTACAAGCTTAGTGGAACAGTGGATTAGAGGAACGAGTTGTTCCTTGAACCACTATAAAAATCCCCGGTGTCATTTACTTACTGTTTTCATATTTGCACTTAGATAGAACTGTCTAACTCCTTAGACTTGGTATCTGTGTTCAGCAGAACCTGTCTTACGAGTTAACAGAAGGCCTACTGTCTTTGCTTCTCTGAGGCTAAATCAACAGAACCCCCTACCAGAACCCCATCCGCTGCCAGTCTGTTCTGTCAACAGAACAGGCTATTCTGTAAAATCTGGTACTTAGTTTAAAAAACTAAAAACCAATACAGTCTATTCACCCCCCCCTCTAGACTGTATCCAGTACAACCGGGACACACATATTGTTTGGTCCAGAATCACTAGACCTATAGGAGGAGCAGGATGTTACCTCAACATCGTTGTAGTGGTCCTTGGCCATTAAGCATTTGGGGGAGCAGCTTTCATCATCTTTTCTTCCACTGGTGGAAGGCTTGTTGAGCCACCTGCTGCTCTCTTCAGTCACCTGCCATGATCCTAGGCAGAGAAGTGCTTCTTCTGAGCTATCTGATGAGGAGCTCTCATCACTTGAGCTGCTTTCATCATCAGTTTGGAGTTCCTCCCTTTTCGTTTCACTTACAAAGGCTTGCCTTTTGCCTTTGAAGTTTTTGTAACAACCTTTTTGAGCAGCCCCTGCTGCCCTTGATATTTTTGGGCTAAGGGCAGAGGGCATTCATTTTTGTAATGTCCTGGCTATCTACAGTTGTAGCACAGGACAGTCTCCTCGCTGGGTTGAGGTCTCCCTTGTCTTCTAGGTGGCTGGTTGTATGCTTTATTTGGAGCAGTTCCCTCATTCTTCATAAATCTTTTAAATTTCCTCACAAACATAGCGAACTGCTCGTCAGTGAGGAGATTATTGAGGGATTTTTCAGCAGATTTTGAAGTGCTTGGCTCAGACACTAGAGCTAGTGTCTTGGACTCATATTCCTTCTCTTCTTTGATTTCCTTCATTTCAAATTCATAGGCCTTGAGATCACTGAAGAGTTTGCCAGTTGACAAAGTTCTGAGATCTCTGCTATCTCTCATAGCAGTTACCTTCATGTCCCACTTAGATGGCAGGCCTCTTAAGACTTTAAGGGAAATCTCCTTTTGGGATAGATCTTTCCCTAGGTCTGAGACCTCTGCTATAATCTTTAGGAACCTGCATTCCATCTCATGAATAGACTCATTTGACAACATTTTGAAGTCCTCAAATTTCTTGAGGGCTAAGGTCAGTTTGTTGTCCTTTTCTTGTTCATCAACAGCTCCGATCTTTGTGAGCTCATTCCATACTGCTTTTGCAGTTTCACATTTCCTAATTCTGGGAAATATGGACTCATCAACAGATTTAAAGAGAATATCTTTGGCAATGTTGTCAAGATTATTCCTCTTCCTATCCTCAGATGTCCATTCCAATTTTGGTTTAGGAATGTATATATCCTCCTGGTCATCAGCTTTGGATGTACTGACCTTTATTATTCTGATAGGTCCATCAGTAACTACCTCAAGCATTTCATCATGTAAAGCACTGAGATGTGCTTTCATCCTGATTCTCCAAACATCAAATTTGTTTAAGTTGAACAGGAGATTCTTGGCTAGTTGGCTGTCCATTGTTTAGAAAGTGTTTGGGAGGGGAAGTGGATTTGGATCTTTAGTTCAAAATAGTCAATAAATGACTCTAGGAACACTCCGCTCTGATACCACTTGATGGTCCCGTATAGGGTAAAAGTCTAGAGGGGGGTGAATAGACTTTTAAATCTTTTTTGACTTTTAAAAGTTTTTCCTCTAAAAGAGTTAATCTATAAACTTTTGAGAGATTTATAGATGCACAGCGGAAGTCTTTACCCTTTATGTAATGAGTGTTTAGCCACTTTCTAACTTGGAGAGAATTTGGCTTAGAATGCTAGCAATTGGCTTAGCAGGTGGCTAAGTAGCAGGGAACTGCTGAGGCAAGTGCTCAGGAAATGCAGAGTATATGATGAAGGTAAGGATAGTTGATTGATGAGTATGGTAAGGCCTTTTAGTAAGTATGCTTAAGTGAAAAGAAACTATAGCTTTTTACTGAAGCAGTGGACTCGGCAGTTGGGTGAATGTGAGGGAACTGTTGAGGCACCTGCTTGGGTCAAAAGCTTATTGGGTTAAGCAAACTTCTTGATGATGTAGTGATAATCTGGTGATGTTTTAGATGTTGACAAGAAGCAAGTATATATGAGCAGAGGGCTCAGCAGTTGGGTGGATTCCAGGGAACTGCTGAGGCACCTGCTATGAGTTTCTGGAAATATTAGAATAGGCCTTTTGGTGATATTGGTGTACTTCTCTTGTATGAAAATGATCTCAAAGAAAGTAAGTAATTAGGCAGTAGGATAAGCAGTTGAGTCAGTTAAGACAACTGCTTAGGATTCTGCTGGCAAACTTCAATCTTTTTGAAAGAGGTGCTAAGTGTGTGCTTTGTTGAATGAAAGTAAATCAACACACCGTATATCCTGGTTCAGAGGTGGTGTAATCCTCCTACGTCCAGTCCCACCCTCTTTCAGATGGATTTCACTAAAGTATTAAGCTCAATACGCTTAGTGCCAATCTAGCCTTTACAACACTTAGGCCTTGATTGAAGGTTTTTCACGATGAGTATAACACCACTCAAAGTTACTCAGTCCTTAGACTTTTCTCTAATGAACCAGTGGGGATCAAAAGGTACTCTATCTATCTACTTACACTGTAGGATCCAAACAACTGTTCTCCTAAGTTTTTACAACAATATGTGATTAGTTACAAGAAAGTTCTAACCTCCAACTAGGAACTAAACTTCTATGATTTAGCAATGAAAAGCTTGTAAACTGGAAGTTTAATGAAGCATGAGTCCAAGCAGAGAGTAAAGTTTAGAATAGCACTTTCTCTTTTGTTAGATATCTCGTTAATGCTCGTGATAGAATTTCTCTCTTTGGATGCTCAAAGCTTGGTTAGAAACTTTCGTTTCAGCCTATATTTATAGGCTTCTCCTTTGGATTAATCTCATCCGTTGGTTAGGATGAATTAATCTCTGACGTTGAAATTCTTACAAGGACAAATTGTACATTCGTCTTCTTGTGCTAGAGCATTTATTTGGGATGATTTCTTTGTCTTGAGTATCTCAGCCGCTGAAGCATCTCTTCGGGAAATCTTTTCATAATAATACATGCGTCCTATGCTCCAGTCCCATGTATTAATTGCCAGTCAATTTTTTGTCTTCAATCATATACATTCAATGTATATAATTTCTGAGCTTCTTTTCTTTAATAATGTGACATACAGTTAACTTTTGAGCTAAAATAATATATACCGGTAGGATCTAAATATCCTATTAAGGTAAATAAAAATTACCTTATTGTATTTTTTTTCCGGTAATATTCAAATTGACTCAAAAATTGTACATGTATTTTGTCACATAATTTTGAATGCTAACATACAAACAATATTGAGAAACAATGTACACGTGCTAAGTATAGTGGCATCATCAAAATCTATCAAAATTGGGTATTAACAATTTCCCCCTTTTTGATGATTCCAAAACTATACAACACAAGAACCAAATATGTTTATTGATTTTCATTGATTTTTTGTACATTGTTCTAAAGTCTAGAGTACAATAGTTTATAGTCAGTTTCGGACTTGGATCTATTCTATTCTTCTTTGTCTTTTTGTGACTTCTTCTTGGCTTCCTCCTTTGCCTTTGCCTCTTCTGCCTTTCTTCTTCTTATCTCCATTTCTTCTTGTAGCCGCTTGTTCTTCTTTCTGGTTTTAGCTGCCTTCTTGGCTGCTAGAGACCTTGTAGATGAGGGGCCTGCTTGTGTTGTTCTTTCCCCCTTTTTGGCATCAGCAGGGGTCTCACTTTCTCTTAATAGTGCTTCTATCTCCGGGTCAGAGTCAACCTCAATTTGTCTTGTTCTTGTTGGATGGAGATCGTTGAATTCAATGGCGAGTGAAGTGACTATGTTCCGAAGATCAGTTACATCTACCTTGACTTCTTCTTTGATTTCTTTGTCAAGTTGGTGAAGCTGTTGAGTTGTTGCTTGTTGGTGTAGGCCCAGTGTCTTGAGTTCATCTCCTTGCTTTAGGAGAGCTTCTTGAGTAGCTGCGTGTAGTCGTCCTAGATGATCAGCAACATCTGCTCTAGTCTTGCCTATTGCCTCTGAGTGCTCCACTTGTTTGGTGACCAACTTCTTGGAGAGATTTAGTGTAACACCCCGGCCCTGTAGACCCCGAGGTAGTTACTCCAGTTCCCTCTCTAAACCTCTAGTACTGTCCTCACAAACCGCCACTAGCCTTTTCCGCGCACTTTGTCCTCACTCGTGCGCGCCCTGAGAAACTTCCCAGGGGGTCACCCATCCCAAGACTACTCCCGTGCAAGCACACTTAACTTTGGAGTTCTTGGTGATGAGCTCCCTTAAAAGGAGATGCATCTTGTTGGTATGAGTAGTACTATTAATCCGTTTAAATTAAATCTCAAGTGTTACAATCACCCCCACTTAGGAATGCAACGTCCTCGTTGCGCCCATAAACCAATCTCAATCAAATCCCAGAATCTTGCCCCGCTAAGTGCCCGCCCGATATCCCACGGGTCAACACACTGTCGCAGGGTTGCTCTGATACCAATTTGTAACACCCCCAAATTTCCCACCCAAAACGTTGATATAATTGAAATAAAACTTTTATTTATTGATAATGAAAATTTAAAGAAAATACAGCGGAAGTCTTAGTAAGGGAAATGGGTGTTACCGCCACATCCGGTCATCTCTCAACCGGATGCACAGGCAACTAAAACATAACAACTAATTTAATAAAAATAAAGTGTTTGTAAAGTAAATGTTTATTTCATGACTAGTATAACTAAGGTGACTTCTAATTCGCTCTCGGGCCATGCAAGCAATCATCAATCGACAAAATCATCCTCACCTGCACAAATAAAGTGCAGAAACAAAACAAAGAAAAGAAAACAAAAATTAGCTTTAGAGCTAAGTAAGTACTACCCAACCCCGTAAAATAATCATGTTTGACTAAAATAGATCTTTATATAATAATATATAAAAATACTCACACCATCGAAATTCTTTTCACTTTGATTTTTCTCACACTACTGCCTTACAAAAAATCTCAACTTCTTTAAAACTTCATAATAACTCTTCTCTTTGATTTCCTCAAAAATCACTTCTTCTCTACCCTCCTAGTAATTTAGAAGGGCGGTGCTCAACCTTTCGATAGAGCCCGGTGGACCGTGGTTACGGACGGCCACCCCGAACAAGTGCCGGTACCACAACTGCTCTGTTGGAAACGAAACGACTACCTTAAGTGTGCACACCCCCTAAAAGGGATTCCAAGCCCTCCGAGTAGTAAGTCGTAACGAGTAGTCGGGACTCAGTCTACCAACTACCCCTTAATAAGATATCTTGAATGATTAGGGACTACTACTACCATAACTTCTTCTTAAAAGGGATCATCGATCCAAATATCACTTTAAACTCAAACTGTACTTCTTAGTAGTAGCAGACCTAGTCACCCTCCACATTTATCCGGACGTGGAAAACCGACACCACGGATTTCTCCCGTGATGCTCACCTCTTATGAAATCATTCTTTTATCTTGGATTAATATACATCAAAATATTTCTCAACTTCTCAAACTGCTTTAAAAATATTTAGATAAAATATTTACCTCCAAAAGCACTTAGTTTCACAAATCATCTCAGAATCACATGCATAAAAATCATACTTCACACTTAAAATCACGTATCACATAATACATATATAATACGAGGAAACGATTTTTGGATTGGCAGAGAAACTTACCTCTAGTCCGGGTGCTCCTAATTCTCTTCTTCTACTCCGGTCTCTAAATAATCACCTTTTTAATTAAGATGATATAATTAGTCACTTACTCTTTAATAATTATTTTACTCGATTTTCACCTTTTATTTCCTTTTTTTTTCACGATCAGACTTCCTAATAAATGGGTGAACTATCGATTGAGTTTTCCGCTGTTCTTAATACGGAGTATTATATCTTTGCATACTCTGGTTTTGGATTGTAACGCATGTATGTATATATCCTAGCAGAATATTCTAGCATGCAGTTACAAACCTTCTGCATTTATTTGTTATTCATTAATTTTCCTTTGTTAATTTTTTGGATCTTTTTGCAGGTCAACAAAAAAAAACGTATAGATATACGTATACGTTAGTATAGTTTATATATTTAGGGGTAAAAATGGGAATTGTGTTTTGTAAAAATAAAATATAGCTTTACTTCTTATGTCATATGTATAATTGGTACTTGATATAAAATATTACTTCTTTTATCGGACCATTTTTATCTGAATAAAAATGTCACAATTGTTAATTTTCTGTCTGGTTCACTTGTTTCATAAAATGTTGTTCCTACTATTGAAATATTTTTATCTGACTAAGACATCATAAATTTTGAAATTTTTATCTGCTTGGAATGTTACAACTGTTGAATTTTGTCTGACTCAATAATAATTAAAAAAAGTCATTTCCGTAATATTTTATGATTTATCTGGCTAAAAATTATTTTTATTTTTATTTAAATTTTTGGAGTGTCACATGGCCTGTTGGGGAGCGTAGTGTGGCAGGACTTCCAACCATGATTGGCGTACCTCTGGTTGTTAAGACAGGTGGTAATGAGACTGTATCAGTGTGTGCAGAAGTAGAAGGTTGTGCCCTAGAAAATGATAAAAATTCTGGGAATGTGGACACTTGACCTAATGTGCATTGGGTAGCAGTGTGGGGCGGTTCACTGATGGGTTCCCCGTGTGGGATTGAAACAACCATCTGTTGGGAGCTGAGACAGTTGAGTGGTCTAGGCTTGGCTCACTTTGCGCTATTGAACTCAATGTAGCGACTTCTACTCAGGAACTGACAACGTAAGAACCTGTACCTATGGGCTGAGTTCGGATTATTTCAGTGACTGGGGATGATGAAACAACAATAGCACTAGATGATGAAGACGATAATGCACCTAGGGGTCTACCAAGCTCAAGAGGTAAGCACATTGTTTACTCCTCTTCCTCTAGTGACAAAGAAACTAGGAGGGTTCTGGAAAAATCCAGGATGGAAACTCATGGAGGAGGAGAATCATCCAAAGCTCCCTAAGAGCAGTTGGCTGTTACTCTCCCGCAAGGGATCCAAATTCTGGACCTCAACTTGGAGCCTCACCAAGAAGAGAACACAGAACACGAAGCTACAACTTCAGAGAACGCCAAACATCAAATTCTCACTGATGGAGCTGAGGACACACCGACTCTAGCAGTTCAGAGAGGCCTTCAGGACCTTCAAGCTCTATGTTTAGAGCTCCAAGGTCAGCTTCAAGCAGTCCAACAACCACAAGTTGCAACACAGCCCTCTGCCCAAGCAAAAGCAGATCACTCTGCCCAGGTACTTTCCAACTGTACCTTACCAACTAACCTTGAGTAGGCCCATCAAACTATCCAGGTGCATGAGAAGTTCCTACACTATCTCAAAACCAAGGAGCTACCTGCCATCCTAAATGTAACACCCCCAAATTTCCCACCCAAAACGTTGATATAATTGAAATAAAACTTTTATTTATTGATAATGAAAATTTAAAGAAAATACAGCGGAAGTCTTAGTAAGGGAAATGGGTGTTACCGCCACATCCGGTCATCTCTCAACCGGATGCACAGGCAACTAAAACATAACAACTAATTTAATAAAAATAAAGTGTTTGTAAAGTAAATGTTTATTTCATGACTAGTATAACTAAGGTGACTTCTAATTCGCTCTCGGGCCATGCAAGCAATCATCAATCGACAAAATCATCCTCACCTGCACAAATAAAGTGCAGAAACAAAACAAAGAAAAGAAAACAAAAATTAGCTTTAGAGCTAAGTAAGTACTACCCAACCCCGTAAAATAATCATGTTTGACTAAAATAGATCTTTATATAATAATATATAAAAATACTCACACCATCGAAATTCTTTTCACTTTGATTTTTCTCACACTACTGCCTTACAAAAAATCTCAACTTCTTTAAAACTTCACAATAACTCTTCTCTTTGATTTACTCAAAAATCACTTCTTCTCTACCCTCCTAGTAATTTAGAAGGGCGGTGTTCAACCTTTCGATAGAGCCCGGTGGACCGTGGTTACGGACGGCCACCCCGAACAAGTGCCGGTACCACAACTGCTCTGTTGGAAACGAAACTACTACCTTAAGTGTGCACACCCCCTAAAAGGGATTCCAAGCCCTCCGAGTAGTAAGTCGTAACGAGTAGTCGGGACTCAGTCTACCAACTACCCCTGAATAAGATATCTTGAATGATTAGGGACTACTACTACCATAACTTCTTCTTAAAAGGGATCATCGATCCAAATATCACTTTAAACTCAAACTGTACTTCTTAGTAGTAGCAGACCTAGTCACCCTCCACATTTATCCGGACGTGGAAAACCGACACCACGGATTTCTCCCGTGATGCTCACCTCTTATGAAATCATTCTTTTATCTTGGATTAATATACATCAAAATATTTCTCAACTTCTCAAACTGCTTTAAAAATATTTAGATAAAATATTTACCTCCAAAAGCACTTAGTTTCACAAATCATCTCAGAATCACATGCATAAAAATCATACTTCACACTTAAAATCACGTATCACATAATACATATATAATACGAGGAAACGATTTTTGGATTGGCAGAGAAACTTACCTCTAGTCCGGGTGCTCCTAATTCTCTTCTTCTACTCCGGTCTCTAAATAATCATCTTTTTAATTAAGATGATATAATTAGTCACTTACTCTTTAATAATTATTTTACTCGATTTTCACCTTTTATTTCCTTTTTTTTTTCACGATCAGACTTCCTAATAAATGGGTGAACTATCGATTGAGTTTTCTGCTGTTCTTAATACGGAGTATTATATCTTTGCATACTCTGGTTTTGGATTGTAACGCATGTATGTATATATCCTAGCAGAATATTCTAGCATGCAGTTACAAACCTTCTGCATTTATTTGTTATTCATTAATTTTCCTTTGTTAATTTTTTGGATCTTTTTGCAGGTCAACAAAAAAAAACGTATAGATATACGTATACGTTAGTATAGTTTATATATTTAGGGGTAAAAATGGGAATTGTGTTTTGTAAAAATAAAATATAGCTTTACTTCTTATGTCATATGTATAATTGGTACTTGATATAAAATATTACTTCTTTTATCGGACCATTTTTATCTGACTAAAAATGTCACAATTGTTAATTTTCTGTCTGGTTCACTTGTTTCATAAAATGTTGTTCCTACTATTGAAATATTTTTATCTGACTAAGACGTCATAAATTTTGAAATTTTTATCTGCTTGGAATGTTACAACTGTTGAATTTTGTCTGACTCAATAATAATTAAAAAAAGTCATTT